GCCTGGAGTGTGGAAAGAGCTTCACTCGGAGGCATAGTCTGCAGCAACATGTAAAGACTCACACTGGGGAGACACACACTGAGGAGAAAGCCTGTAAATGCCAGGAATCTGGACAAAGCTTTCCTCAGATTTCAGATCTACGTTCACATGAAAGGACACACACTGGGGAGAAATCTTATAAATGCCTGGAATGTGGACAGAGCTTCACTGTGAGTGGCCATCTACATAGACATCAAAAGATTCACACTGGGGAGAAACCTTATAAATGCCTTGAATGTGGTCAGAGCTTCACTCAGAGTTCAAATCTACGTACACACCAAAGGATTCACACTGGGGAGAAACCCTATAAATGTCAGGAATGTGAACAAAGCTTTGCTCAGATTTCATGTCTACGTTCACATGAAAGGACACACACTGGGGAGAAACCTTATAAATGCCTGGAATGTGGTCAGAGCTTCATTCAGAGTTCAACTCTATGTACACACCAAAGGATTCACACTGGGGAGAAACCCTATAAATGCCTGGAATGTGGACAAAGCTTTACTCGGATTTCAGGTCTACGTTCACATGAAAGGACACACACTGGGGAGAAACCCTATAAATGCCAGGAATGTGGACAAAGCTTTGCTCATATTTCAGGACTACATTCACATGAAAGGACACACACTGGGGAGAAAACTTACAAATGCCTGGAATGTGGACAGAGGTTTACTCATAATTCAAGTCTAAGTAAACATGAAAGGACACACACTGGGGAGAAACCCTATAAATGCCTGGAATGTGGACAGAGCTTCACTGTGAGTGGACATCTACATAGACATCGAAGGACTCACACTGGGGAGAAACCTTATAAATGCGTTGAATGTGGTCAGAGCTTTGCTCATAATTCAAGTCTACGTACACATCACAGGATTCACACCGGGGAGAAACCCTATAAATGTCAGGAATGTGGACAAAGCTTTGCTCAGATTTCAGGTCTACGTTCACATGAATGGACACACACTGGGCAGAAACCTTATAAATGCCTGGAATGTGGTCAGAGCTTCATTCAGAGTTCAAATCTACGTACACATCAAAGGATTCACACTGGGGAGAAACCATATAAATGTCTGGAATGTGGACAAAGCTTTGCTCGGATTTCAGGTCTACGTTCACATGAAAGGACACACACTGGGGAGAAACCTTATATATGCCTTATATGTGGACAGAGCTTCACTCTGAGTTCACGTCTACGTTCACATCAAACGATTCACACTGGAGAAAAACCCTATACATGCATGGAGTGTGGAAAGACCTTTGCTTATAGTTCAGGTCTACGTTCCCATCTAAGGACACACATGGGGGAGAAACCCTATACATGCCTTGAGTGTGGACAGAGGTTCACTCAGAGTTCTCATCTAAATAAACATGAAAGGATCCACACTGGGGGGAAAACCTTATGAATGCTTGGAGTGTGGCCTGAACTTCACTCAGAGTAGACCACTACGTTCACATGAAAGCACTCACCCTGGGGAGCAACCCTATAAATGCCTGGCGTGTGGACAGAGTTCCACTCGTAGTTCACCTCTACATAAACATCAAAGAACTCACCCCGGGGAGAAACCATGTATAGACCTAGCATAAAATCGTAGTCATAGAATAATAGAGTTGGAAGAGATGACATGGGACATCCAATCCTGCTTTGATTTTATGCGCTTTGTGCACTTTTATGGATTTGACCAATATTTTAAAATATTAA